AGAGCTGTGTCTGCACAGCAGGAGCCATCCAGTGCCGGCCCTTCACCTGCCCCGCTAGAACCCACTGCCAGGCCAAAACCGCTGGCAGGGAAACCTGTGAACCAATCCGTAAGAGGTTGCTCGGGAAGGTGGACAAGAGGCAGGGTAGGAAGGCCTGAGGCAGCCATGGGGAGGGCCAGTGCCATGGGACAACGCGCCTCTTTCCACTCTGCCTGCTCTGTGGCCTCCCAGCCCCACTAGCCCATGACTGGCCTTACTTACACCGCCCCCCCACTCCCCGCAGCTCTGCAATGTCCCGCCAACAGCAGCTACAGGGCCTGCATGCCCCCCTGCTTGCTTACGTGTGCGGACACAGAGAAGATGTGTGACAGCATCGAAGGCCCCACCTGCCGGGAGGGCTGCCTTTGTCTACCTGGTTTTGTGCTCAGTGAGAAGCAGTGTATACCCCCGAGCCAGTGTGGCTGCAAGGACGCCCGGCTCGGTGCCATCGCTGTGAGTGGCTCCAGAAGTCCTTGGAACAGCAGTCCTGAGGCGGGATCCCCTGTCCTGTGTCCCTGTCAGCCTGGGACTTCTAGTCTCTGCAGCTAACCCTGGGTGGGCAGGGGATGGCACAGACAGTGCCAGTTATGTCTGATACAGGGAACATGGTTCTTTTTATCTGAAGAATTCGAACAGCTGGGGTGCAGCAGCGTTAGTGCAGTGTGCAGAGGCTGAGTCCTGAATATACGACTGGGTCAGGGGTCCCTGGACCATATTTCAAGGAGGGTATCAGTAGTATGTCCTGGACTTCACATGTGAGACACCAAACCAAGGGTCTGTAGCACAGGACAGGAGGGAGAGGGCACTTATAACCTTGGCCAGAACCGGAAGCCCTCACACAGCAGGTCTAGGCCTCCAAGGTGAGAGTAACAGGATGGAGCATATGCCTGAGCAACCACTGACCAACCCTAATTCCCTCTTCTTCCTCTGGCGTGTGCAGGCAGGGAAGACATGGCTCACCAGCCGCTGCACTCAGAGCTGTGTCTGCACAGCAGGAGCCAACCAGTGCCGGCCCTTCACATGCCCCGCCGGGTCCCACTGCCAGGCCAAACCCAATGGCCTGGAAACCTGTGAACCAATCGGTAAGAGGGGCTTGGGAAGGTGGACAGCAGGCAGGACAGGAAGGGCTGAGGGCTGGCACGGGGAGGGCCAGTGCCGCGGCACAAGGCGCCTCTCATCACTGCCTGCTCTGTGGCCTCAGACCCACTAGCCCGTGACCC